CCCCCCCCCCCCCCCCCCCCCAACACCTATGTCAATTGAGCTCCCCAAATTTAATAAATTTGGGGTAAAATTATTTGATTTTGAGGTTATCTAAAATTTGGGGACAATTGATAGGGGTGTAGAGGTGTGTTCGAGTTGCGGTCCGAGATGATGAGTTTACCGTGAAGTAGACATCGTTTTTTTGAACAGAACATCGCAAAGCTCTTAAATTAATAGGTGTTGCAATATGACAGTCAAAATGAGTGTAATGATTACCGTGCCACTCTTTTGTCCATTAGATCATTCAAGCTAAAAGAGAATTTTTTGTTGCTTTAGGTATGAAAGATATGAACAAAAAAGTGTCTACTCTAGTGATGGTCGACTTCTTAGATGGTGGAAGGCTCAAAATCATGAATGGACCCTCAATCATCAATCTTCTTTCTCTTTCTTTTTTGTAAAACAAATAAATACCCAAAGCAAATCAAAACAAAAGCACAGCTAATGGGGGAAATAGAGGAAAAAGAAAGAATACTTTTGTAACTCACCCTTCAAGAAAGAAGCAAGACATTGCTTAGATCCAAGAAAAAAGACATAATGTCAAGGATCTCGAGTCAAACAGGCACCTCCAAGAAAAAGACATAATGTCAAGGGATCTCGAGTCAAATAATCAAACAGCTACAAGCACACATCAACCTTCTCTTTTCTTCAAAGACGACAACAGTTACGAGCACTCGACATCAGACTTTTCTCTTCTCAAAGTTTTTAGTTTCTTGCTAGTGTCCAAGCTTCTGTCTGCTTCTAGTTGTGCCTTAACTGTTGTCCACAACAAAGTGATTGTCCTTCTACTAATCCACACTTTTGACAAAACCCCTCTGAGTAGTTTATGTGCCCATGATGTTTGTTTTTGCTTGTAGTAACAACTTGTCAATTATTCATTGTCTTTCCAAGTCTGATAGCCTTTTGTCCTTTTACCTGGTGTGTTTTTGAATTGTGTGTGTAGTGTCTGTGTTGGTATTAACGGCTCCATCTTTGAGATTGATATGGTTGTGAAGACGGCACTAGAGTAAAGAAAAAGAAAAGCTATCCCACATGGTAAGAAGAGAAAGAAGGCTAGAGATTTTCTCACATGGCAGGAATAAACAAAGTGAAGGAAGAAACTGGCGGTGAAGAACGAAAACAAGAAGCTGACAGTGAAAAAAGAAAGAAAGAAGGTTGCAGTGAAGGACTTCATTAGCAATCTAAAAATGGAAAGTACTTATAGCCTTTAGATTTGGATGGGAACTTTTCACTTAGTGGAGGGAAATGAATTTTTTTAGCTAATTTGGGCAATTAAAATGTCGTGTAATGTGGAGTATGTAGTGTTTGGTAATGATTGACTTGTACTTTTAACTTTTGAATTTGTAATGGTTATGTATCAAATCAAAAACTTTCTCTTGTTTTTTCTTTTACAAAATACACAGACAACCGACTAAAGAGTAATATCGGAATGTCAAAGAAAATTTAACGGAGTAGCTTTTTTTAAAGTGCGTGCTGGATCGAACTGCGGATTTTTTTGTGGACACAGGGAATAGTAGTAGTAATAGGATAAAGTTATTTGTATCCCAAGAGTTTGAACTCCATTTGTACACCGCATGTGCGATGTGTGCACCAACATTTTGTGTTGGTATAATGCTAATTTTGTTAACGCACCAATACTTTGTATCACTGTGAACTATCAAAATCTTAGTGTATACCTTTAATGTATAAATGATGTACAATTTTTTGTGGGAGTGTAACATGGTCCGTAGTAGGCATGCTAGGGTGCCACCACATGGGTGCTACCATGGGTGCACCCATGCTTGGCACAAAAAAACACAGACGATAATTGTCTGTGTCGCACAGATAATTATCGTCTGTGCAAACCATGTGTGCACCCATGATAACACACATGTGGTAGCATCTTACTAGTAATAAACTGATACTCCTTAGTGTTGCATCTTACTAGTACTCCCTCTATCCCAGAGTATTTGTCCACTTTCATTTTTACACATCATCCAATGCACTTTTTAAATCCATTTTATCTTGTAATTTGTATATTAAAAAATTATAGAAATTATATATTAATAAGCTATATGTTAAGACAAATTAAACAAGATCACACATGACTATATTTAAGCTTACACATTGAGATAATTTGATGAGTCAAAGTGCTTAGATGAACAGTTTCAAAAGTTAAAAATGTACAAAAACTGGGGGACGGAGGGAGTAATAAACTGATACTCCTTAATAAATGTTTTGGTGGAGCTCTAACTTCCCTCCCACCCGTCCACTACTCCACAATGCCTCTCCCTTCCTAGAATAACTAACCCAAGTACCCATCTCTCAAATGTGAAATGGAGAAACCAGTTGCAGAATCAGATAAATGGCCAACAAAAAAATAACCAATCCCTGCAATTTGTAATTCGGCGGGTGAATTTTCAAACAGGTGAGGTTGTGTTCAATGCAGATTTAATCACCACGAATTAGGGTTAACAACTTTAATCGAGTTCACTGTGTCGCGGCATTGTTTCATTTTTCCATTTTCCAAAGATGTTAGAATTTTCCGCCGATTTACATTCCTAAATCTCCAATAATTCTGCTTATTTTCAACTGTTGCTCTTTCAGAACCCGCTATGGTTGTCTTCTTCAAGTTAAAGTTTGGTTTCAGAAAAAAATAATCCCTTATTTTTTTCTGCAGTTTTGATATCTAACATCAAGGTTTTAATATTTTTTTTTTGTAATTTTCTTTCTTTCTTTGGTATAATACCCTCTATATTTAATAGTTTGAGGTTTTTTTTATTGGTGATGTTTATATTATGCCTTTTTTGAAATGCACCTTGCTCCAAGCGTACCTAGTTGGGTAAAGTTCAAATTTTTTTATGCAACTCATGCTCTTATGTTTGAATTCTACTGAGTATCTTGTATCAAATAGGTTACATCACTTATATTGGAGAGTTTGAATGCGTTTTTTCCCTAAAAACACAGTGCATTTTTGGGAGGCCGAAGATTGTATCGGTCAGTTATGAGTCTGCCAACACTGGCATTTAGAGGCCGAGTTATATATAGTCGAACTTTGGGCCAGGTTGAAAGATCAGCAGAAGAGATTCTCCATCTCATTGAAGAGAAGAAAAGAAAAGAAGAGAAGGTTGCTCTTGGATTCGACATCGAATGGAGACCAAGTTTCATAAAAGGTCTGCTTTTCCATTATCCTTGCAAAAGAAAAAAACACTGATAACTTTTGTCATGCCAAATTTATAGGAAAAAAATAGATGCTCATAACAGTTTACTTGCCTGAGTGGCATGGTTTAGTAGTTTATTATCTTTTTTCTTCCCTTTTTGTGTTTGAGCAATGCTTCATCGTTTTTTCTTATATTGTTCTGCAAGTCAAAAAATTTTCAGTATGTCTTCCGGATCAAAGCTGTCAAGGACTTGTTTCAGAATTAAAATTGTAAATGAATTTATTGTTTCTTCTATCGTTACCATGCCCAGGGCTGGTCCATACAGTTTTTGAGCTCTGTGCAGATCTAATGATAAGGCTGCTATAGTTTTCCTTAAAAGGAATGTAACTTTTTTTTGGAACGGGCGAGAAAAAAGTGAAACAATTACTGCGGGAGAGATGGAGTATAACATGAGAATGGCTGCCTCGGTGCAGGTGTTTCACCAGGGAAGGCTGCTGTTATGCAGATCTGCGGTGACTCGGACAATTGTTATGTTTTCCACATCATTCATTCTGGAATCTCTCGGAACCTACAATTGCTTCTTGAGAATTCTGCAATACCAAAGGTTCAACTTTTGTTTTGAAACTTTCTGGAATTCCATATAAACACAAACCACCTCCTTGTTAAAAATATAGTTCTAATTAATACTGGTGTGATTCTTGGTTTGTGGTATAATTATATAGGTTGGAGTAGGGATTGCAGGTGATGCTAAGAAGGCTTCCATAGATCATAATGTATGTGTTAGTAATTTGGAAGATCTGTCTGCATTGGCAAAGAAAAAGTTTAAGCAAGGTCCTCTAAAATGGAGTTTAGCATCCCTAGCTGAAAAACTTCTTCATGCAAAGGTTATTATTTCTAACTTATTTTTTGGTTTATGGCATCCATCATTTTCTTTCAGACCTATTCTAAAAATCTTTACCTGTCACTTTGCTTTCCCGTTAACATTGATTTCATGTCTTCAACCTTGCTACTGTTGAGTATCCTGCATAAGTTTTGAGTTATCTATTGGGTGTGAGTGGAGTATGTAACTGTGAGGTAAAGGTTCACTTTTAGGATTTTTGGGGGTGAGTTAGACCTAATTTAGCATGGCATCAGGGGTGGTCCAATGGTTGTTCCCTTGTTTTTGGGGGTGCCCCCCCTACCCTTGATTGTTCAGGCAACCTTTTGGGGATGGTTTTGGGTCTACCCTTCAGTTGTCAAGATTTTGCACACACATCTATTGGGTTTTAAGTCTATTTCAAAATTTACATGTTCCATTCCTGATGAGAGGAACTCTTTTTGTCTTACTTATAAATGCAAGAATGAATTGAAAGGTTTTGTATTCTTGCAGCTACCTAAGGGGAACAGTGTGAGATTGGGAAATTGGGAGACTAAATATTTATCCAAGAAACAACTTGATTATGCTGCCACAGATGCATATATTTCATGGATCCTATATCAAGTAATGTAAATGAGGACCCTTTTCTACTTTACTCATTCCTCCCTTCCCTTTATTTATTTATTTATTTATTGCCCAACTTTTATAAGAAGGGGGTACTTTTTAACACACTCATCATATTATGACACTCGTGCCATTCGAGGGGTTCCGTTCAAACCCAAAATGGTCCCTACCCCGAGCCCTCTTTCGGCGAGCCCCTAGTACCCTCCACTATAATATAACACTCATGTCATGCAAGGGTCTTAAGGTGCTTCGTTTGAATCCAAAATGGTTCCTATCCCTTAACCTCATATAACTTATAAAACCGTCTGTCAACCAGCCCCTTAGTACCCTACAAAACCTAGGTGAGGTACAAGGGGGCTAGGGGTAGAAATAATTCGGGGTAGCGTAGGACATTCAAATGACGACACTCCCATGAGTGGTGTCAAATGAGCCCCACTCCCTTTATATTCACAATTTGGTTGCTACAGGAACTGATGATGCTCCCTAACGTTGTTGATAAAGAAGGAATTGGGGACGAGAACAGTGTGGTGAGGGGGGGCCCAGTAATATCCTTGGAAATTTAACGGGTTCCACATAAGATTTGTGAAGTGACGGTTATACCCCCGCCCCCCCTTTTTTGTCGTGATCTGTGAATTAATTAATCTCACTTATTTACTGCTTAGCTGTTTGGTGCCCTGTAATTATTTGTACTTCTCGTATAAGACAGAGGACTCTGATTTTCTAAGCTGTAGAAAAAAACTGTGTTTTTTTTTGCTGAAACAAAAGGATTGGTAGTTAATACATCATGCACGAGATTTAGAGAGGGGTAGGTACATTTCATTACATCGTTTCTTTTAATTGATAGGTAATTAGTGTTCCAAAATTATTTTCCGAGTTTGACTTTTTTAAATTTTAAACATATTTTCATAAAAACTTTCTTTCCTCTAAAAATAATTTTTTGAAGAAGTTTTCCTTTAATATTTTAAAAGATGAGAGAGGTGGGGTTTTATAAATGTTTTAAAACGAGATTTTTAAAAGTATGAAACATAAAAGTTGATTTGTAACAACATTTCCTTGTTAAGATAAATATATGAGCTCCTGAATCCCTGGTAAATTATATACGGGGTTGTTCTTTTCATTCTATAATAACTCTCTATTAAGGATTGTTTTTTGAAGCGGTCTATTAAGGCTCATTAAATATATTAAGTTTTGAATTCATGTAGGCATATTAAAATCTATATTTATTAAAATCTAATGTATCTAATAATTCTTAAGAGTAAACCACTCCCTACGTTCCAACGGGACAGGCAATTTGAAGGCAGTACTCCATAGTAAACTAGTACTCTCTTTGTTTCATTTAAAATGGTATGTTTTCCTTTTTTTTCATCCCAAAATAAGTTGTTTGTTTCTTGTTATCGTAAATTTTTAAAAGTAAAAATATCTAAACTACCCCTAAAATATGTCACTCTTTTCCACCTTATCTTCTCATTCATTGTCACCCCTCCTAAAAAGTAATATCAATTTCAAAAAGTCAATTCTATTTCTTCTCTTCCTTAAATATGTTTCAAAGTCAAAACGGGCAATTTAAAACATGACGGAGGGAGTACTCCGTATTATTATAATGCTACTATTGGTTATAAAATCAAGATTATGACTACATATATTTAAATCCTAATACCGTAGTTAAATCTATTTTTTAAAAACGAATTTGTTAGATTCACTCATATGAATTTGGGATATATTACCTTAATGGTAAATTCACAGTTCTAGGTCAAAGGAGTGAATTTAGTCACATAGAGTCATACACCTTGCTTGAGAATAATGCTCTTAGTTAATGTTACCATTTTAAATATCTTATAATTATTTAGTATACATTAATTTTAAAAAAAATTAAAATTAAACATTGTCATTAAATAACTTTTTTAAAGATATTAAAGTTTAAATATGAAATTGGTGCAAAATGTGAATTTAATGACTGAAAATAAAATGTGAGCCACTATGAATAACTGAAAATGGAAAGGGGGGATTGGGAAGCTGTTGAGCATTGACTAACGTGGCATTTGCATGTGCTGTGGGCATGCTGGCAGTCAATGCCCTCCATATTTTCTCTTTAATTAATAAATAAATAAACTAATTGATTAATTAATTACTTAATTATGCAATTGGCATAGTTCATCATAATACGGCGTATTCAATTAGTTATTACTAATTCATGAACGGTCCATAATTCAGGGAGTTCTTGACTTCTGGTTTAAGTTAATTTGCAGTAGTTTTTCAATTTTGTGATTCTTCACTCATAATTTCATAAGGAAAAAACACCAAATACGTCATAGAAAATTTATAATTTTTTAAATAATTTCATTAGGAAGTATTTCTTCGGTTCCAAAATGACATTCTATGAAAGAACGCGAAAGACGTTATAAAAGTTATCAATAAATACAAGTGTGGTAAGGCCCTCAAGAGAAATAGAAAAACAATGAGAAGATTCATTGTACACAAATTCTTTTGTACTCCATATTAATATGCAATAGAACAATAATTATGCTTCATCCGTCTCAAAATATTTGCCATATTATGAAAAAACGGGGTGAAATTTTAAGTTTTTTAAAATTTATTTTATTTAAAGATTAATATAGAAACAAAAAATGAAATCAACGTGTTTGAAAATCAGGAGTAAATTAAAAGTTCTTCCCAACAAAATGTGATAATAATATTTTATTTTATCAAACAATTATTGAAAATGTATTAATAAACAAAATTTGATGTATCTTTTAAATTGTGAACCGTCATACTACTTCCATCTTATTATATTCGTTCAGTTTGGATTTTTTTAGTCAAATTAGACAACCTTTGGACATCAACTAAATAATGTAGTACTCCTCGATCATATATATATACTATGAAAATGATTTTATTAGATTTATCTTGTTATGAACTTCCAGAACATGATTTTATAATATTAATACGTACAGTACAAATTGAAAATAATTGATAATTAAAATTCGTGAGAGATCACAAAAGAAGTAATTTTTTCGGGAGAGAGTAAAATATACAGTACAGAGCAGGAACTAAAGAAGGAATCAAGGGCCTCGAAGTCAAAGAGGGTCAATTTTTTATTGAGAGATCCTTATCAAGTATAGTTGTTGGTTTGTCATCAATTGTTAATTGTGAGTTTTTGAAAATTCATTTAAGTGAACTTGTCATCTCAATTCCCAAATAATAACGGATTATGAATTAGAGTTTTTTTCTTGACACGTTAAAAATTACACTTTCTATCTAAAAAAGAATACCACATTGCGCAAAATGAAACAAATTTTACATTCTTTTAATTAATTTTTTTGACATATAAAGAAAAAAAATTACACATTTAAAAATTACGTGAAAATGTTACAAAATAGAGGTGACAAAAAGTTTTATTTCATGAAATGGTCAATGAAATATTATTTCCTCCATCCTCCAATAATCCCACCCTTATGGCATCTCCTAGGGCTAAGTTAAAAATTGGATTGGTGAATATTATTTTAGCAAACAAAAATTGTTTATTATTCATTTTTCAATAACCTCTCCAATCATGATGTGTATATATAAGTTATGAGCACAAATAATCCATGTGGTTTTTCGTAAGTAGATAAATAGTTCATGTGTTTTTAAAAGTTACAAAATAGTCCTTGTAGGCAAAGAATTGATGCATAATTAATCTCTTCTTTAAGGAAAACGAAAAGCACACAGAACATAGGCGTGCTGTGTGAAAATGTAAAACATGTAACAAAATGAAGAAATTTAATTCATGAAATTGCCCTCGTCTTCGTGGTAAAGGAAAGAAATGCTATTTTTTAGCTCTTTTCTCGCACGATATAACCCTAGAATAAAGCCATTTGAAAACTAGAATAATGTCGAGTTCACATAGGACATTGTACTACGATTCAAAAGTATCCCCATAAAAGAGACGAAAAATTCATTGTAAGAGTAGAACTAAAAGATGAAAAATATTGTACTATAATTCAAAGTTACATGTCATAACTGAAATTTCAAATTAGTTTTTTTTACTGTTACATGATTGACATCTTTGCATAATACACATGTTTCATGTACATTTTACGAATTTTCTAATATATGAATTCATTATGCTATGGTTGTTTAACTACAAAGATTATTTGACAACTTTTAAAAGTTGGAATGGGTGGAGGGGAAGGTGGCAAGTGGCTTTAGGAGGGATTAGCGAGTAGGAGCCATTTTCAGAGGGGCATGACAAGTGCTGCCAGGGTGGGGCCGGGCAAGAGGCTTCCGAGTGAACTGGAGTTAAGAATCATCAATTTTTTTTATTAAAATGTTACTCCGTATAATCTTTGTTGTCACAATATCACGTCAAAAGAGTTGGAGCATGAATAGATCTCAAAGGCATCATAAATAATCATGTTAAACTAATTTTTTTTAGAAAGGAAAAATGCTTGTGTGAGGAGGAGGGCATATACCATGGGAGTGGGATATTCAAAAATGTAAACAACACCCCACTATTCAAAAATCACCGAATTTTTTGTTTATTTTTTCATTTTTATTAATTATTTCATAAAATAAAATATTCTTGTCACAACTTGTTTTGTAAAACTTTTGACGTGTTTTTAAATATATAAATTTATTATTTATGTGTAGACTATTTTTTAAATAAAATGAATTAAAAAATTCAAAGAATTACTTTGTTTAATCGTTATATTCTTGAACTGAATGAGTGTAACGAAAAAGGTACAAAGTGTAACCTTATTCACATTTTTTGGACGCATGGAATACAATTTAAGAACTCGTGGGATATATTTGGTGGACATTTTTAGGGTACTCAATCATTATGATGGCCAACTTGCAAATTGACAAAAAAAGAAAGAACGAAACTTAGACATTGAAAGGCATTATTATGCGCGTTTGGGCATTTCTCATTTTCCAATGGGAAACCGCACCCGTACTACACCCAGCTTGGCAGTCCAGTCTTAACCTCGGATTCTATAATCCAAACAGGTTTGCGGCTGGTGTTGGAATTACCGGAGTGCCCCTGAGCTTGCTGGAATTTACGTTATTGCTCAAGAAAGTTCTTCTGCCGACACAGGTACATGAGTGCGAGAGAACGTGTCACGGAAAAAAGTATACGGACGAGACTATATAATAATTGGAACTAGAGAATTACTAGTTTTAATTTTATGGAAAAATAATAATATTTTTTATTACAAATTATAAAAGATATTTTCCATTATAATACAAATTTAATATAACTACATTTATTTTAAAATGTAATGACAAAAAAATCACAATTCCATTAAAAATATAGAATGGAGGGAGTATAAAGCTTTTTAATACCAAAATTGGGTAGATCAGTAAGATCATTACTCAAAAGAATCGAGTAAACCAAATTTAACAATACAGAATTATTTTGTTTTTTAATTTTATGAAATGAAGTGTTTCATCTGGCTCAAAATAATGCTTTCATTGTGAATTATGATGATAAATTGAAATAATTTTCGACTAATATATTTTAAATAATGGTCCACAATTTTAAAAAAATAAAATTTATACGGAATTTATTAAAGTTCTCTTTGAAACAAAAACTTATATGGGAATGTTATTTTAATAAATAATTAACGATATTAACTAAACTAAAAAGAAATAAATACGGAGTATTTTTTTTATGGGAAGAAATTGAAGCTTCCAAAAAGAAAAGAAATCAAAAAGAGGCAAAGTGGGACGCCAGGTCGTTCTTTTGACGAATTTAACCTTGGCATGTCGTTTCACAGCTATTACCATTGAAAACGACG